ATAAACATTTTCAATTTGACTAATATTTTTCAAGGATAATTTATGAGGTACAACTTGCAAAATAAAAGTTCAGATCGTTAAAGTTCGATGTGATGTAAATCCTACAACTAATCCTCATTTTTATAAAAAAAATAAAGATTCATTTTCTTAAAGACTTCCTCTGTGTGTGTGTGTGTGTGTATATCTTGAAGAAGTTGAAGATAAAACTGCTGAACTGGAGGGAACGAAGGGCTATCTTTTGTAAGCGTGAGAGATGAGAATGCACGTGGAATGATTGTCCGTATTTGAACCTACATGTGCAGTAATCTTTCCCATCTGCTCTCGAGCTTCATAAAATTTAAAATAAAAGTCGTATATATGTCTCTACACATAGTTGGAGAATTGGATTTCACGTCGACCAAATGATAAGATAGATATAATTAATGTATGAGACTCGTTACCCTTGATATCACAAAAGCCTTGTGATAAAAACTACCCTTAATATCACAAAAGCCTTATGATAAAAACTAACACATAGTAATAGGTAACTAAGTTAAGAAGATGTTAGTGATGATGGCAAACTGTGCATGGACCTATAAATTTTATCATAGTATCATAGCATGCTATATTCTTTCAACGTGTCATGGGCCCAATTTAATGGTCTCGAATTTGTCTTCTTAAGTTGGACTTTCAAAAAGTTGTGCTAGCTTCAGATTAAGGATATTGATGATTGGACCCTGAAAAAGTTGCATTGGCTCTAGTCACTTACTGATGGCCAGGCTTTCGAAAAATTGTGTTAGCTTTGGTATAATGGCTTGTACTAGTTTTCGATATAGAAATTAGTTTTCTCTACACACATCTCTATATATGGGGCCACTTGTTAGGGGGCTGTGTTGGAGAATAAGATTCCACATTGGTCGTATGATAAAATAATATACAATTAATATATGAGAGTTTACACCTTTCATATTATAAAGATATTTTACGATAAAACTCAATAACTTGTAATAAGCAGTTAAGGTGGAATAATATCAATGATATTCGTGAGGGACCATGCATGTACCTACAAAGTTTGTATTTACATGAACATGTGGGTGTGGTTGTCCGGTTGTCCCCATCTGCCTATGACTGTGCACGGTGCACCTTTCTATCTAAATAATTAATTTGTAATCACAAATCAAATCTTGTTATTAGTTATATATAAATCATCCACCAGCAGTTTAATTTGATAAAACATTCACCTGAAAGCTCTGTCATGGGAAAAAATTGATTGTCCTTGAATCTTAACCTACAAAAGAAACCAAATCAAATCCCAAAGTATCTCGATGGTGAAAACAAATTATTTTTGTCACTTAATATTATAATTTAGTGGTATTTCTCTTTATTGGTAAGTGAAAAGTTTTAAGTTCGATTATCTAAAGGTGAATTTGAACTACATAGCTAGCCCATTGTAAAGTTTAGTTCACTCTCCTCCCCTTAGTGTAGATAATAACGTTTGTTAAAAAAAACACTATTTTTTTAAAAATAATTATGTACATATGTATGTACATGCATGATCACATCAAAGGTCCAACATATGTGCAATTAATTAACAAGTAGACACTACCCATGTGAGAGCATATACGGCTGGGAAGATCTTTCATGTCATCCAGATATACATCTCGTTCTCTTATGGATGAAAATAAAAGATTTAGGGTAAATTTAAAGTTGTCTAATAATCTCATAAACTCAAATATAATTGTAATTATTCTTTTTTCATACCGAGGTATTTATAGGAATACAATAATAGAAAATAAATCAAATCTTTGTCACTAAGCCAAGGAACTTAGACCAACTCAAATATTTAAAATACTTTCTTTTATATCTTTTGCACGTACCCCCCTCAAATAAAAAAAACCTCAAGAAACCTTTTAGCATGATAGAACTAATGCAAACTTTTTCAAAAGCTTCAGTAAATTTTGGGTTGTGCTATCCACACACATTTTTTTACTTCTCACATACCCCTTATTAATTAATGTTATTTGATTTGCTTCAATTCATCTAATCTGAAGACTAAAAATTAAAAGTGTATGTGAGAAGTAAAATAGAAACCTTCATGATAGAAAGCAAATGCCTACCATGACATAAAAAATAAAAAAAACACCCTCTTTTCATCTCTTTTCTCCGTTTTTTTTTTCTCCTACTTTTTTCCTTGATCTTTTTCTACAGCAATGACAACCAAGCTTCTTCTTTTTAAAAAAAAATTGTCAATAATCTTCATCTTCAGGTTCATAACATGTGGGTGCACGAAGAAAATAGCTTTGTACACCCACATTGAACTGTGCACAACAAAGTTCAACCAAGAATCTAACTTGCTCTAATACTAAGTTGAAAATAAAGGGTCTAGGAAAAATTTAGAAATGTCTAATAATCAAACAAACTCGAACACACAATTTCAATATTTTATTCTTCTTTATAAAGAGGTATTTATAATAATAAAACGGAGCAATGATAGGAAATAAACCAAATCAAATTTCTAATTAAATCAAATCTCTAAAATACGGTCTTTCTTAATTATGTTGTTGAACATTTATAATACTCATTGCATGATTAACATACAATGAGATATATACAAAGATGTCCAAATGCAAAATACTGAGGCCTAACGTGAAAACGTAAAGGCTTTTTTAATAAACTAGTAAAGTTAAAAAAAAAAAAAAAAAAATTCAATCCAATCTACCAACCATCTTCACAAAGTAATTAAGAAGTTGAGGCACATCAGACTAGATTTATGAGAGTAAGAGAAATTTTTTTTATTTTTTATGTGGAGAATACGATGAATGAAAAACTTTTTAAGATGTACGTAAAAAATAGTATGAAAAATATTAAATTGATTTAAAGTAAGACTCAAAATACATGTCTTGTTCGTCTTGCTAGGACAACCAAAATTCTCCTTAAATAGCTGGCTGGGGAAGGACTTGGATCCTCTCCTAAGCTAATGGAGAGGATCCTCCTCATCAATCATCCTGGACCGTTGTATTTTTATCCAACAGCTACAATTATTATAACGTTAAAGAGACCCCATGTTTGTAGTCAGTTGGATAAAAATCCAATGACCCAGGATGATTGATGAGGATGATCCTCTCCATTAGCTCAGGAGAGGATCCAAATCCGCTGGGGAAATCATCAAAATATTCCTTCCTATATATTCAACGAGATCAAAGTAAACGTGAAAGACACAACCATACATGACAGTATTTGACAGTGACACACCCCCATGTGAATTAAGTTGAAAATCTCTACTAGATCAAAAATATCCAAACAAAAATTGAGACGATTATATGGAGAAAAACTCGCTCTCAATATAAAGAAAATGACAAAATTGAGATGCGCGACGTACGATCTTCTCCACCTCTTCAGCTTCATATAATTAATTTTTTAATTAATACATCAAAATGATTCCGTAGGTTGATCAATTGTCCATCCATCTCAATTTGGTATCACTTGTAATTGATTTTTGACCTTTATTCTAGGAGATGAGGGTTAGTTAACTACAAATCTAGTATGTATTACCGCTGTCAGGGACGGAGCTATATGTGGTTGCCATGACATCCTTTTCTCTTTATGGGATGGATCCATCGACTCAGTGGCATTTTGATTTAATAATACATTATTATGTAAAGAAAAACGTTGCACATAACAATACATTATTAAGTAAAAAACGCTCCATGACGATAAACATGTTCTATGTAAGTCCTTCCTCTCCCTCCCCCAACCTTTTATTGATCACCTAATTATTTAAACTAGCTCGTCACTACCACTATTACATATTATATATTATTAACGTGTAAGAGTCAAAGTGATGAAAATAATTAACGTGTTAATGATAGTTATGTATATACCTCTTCAAACCATAAAGATAACTAATTGGAAGAAAGCAAAAACTTAACCAAAAACAATTGTTCACATCCTCCTCTTACAATAGCTTAAAGATTATATGCTTAGGACAATGAACATTTCTACTACCATACAACAATAGCTCAAAAGTACTTCGATTTATGTTAACGATAAAATAACAAAATTTAAAGGAGGAGAGAGGAGGAGAGAGATTAGCAAGATGAAGAAACCACAAACTTGAAAACTATTTAGAGTTGTTACTAGTTTCTAATTTTAAAATTATTTCATACTTAAAAAATACATAAGAATATAAACGTATCAGACGAATACAGCTAATTTTCACAACATCAAAATACCCCCACAAATAACAATCAAAAGAGACTTAGGTACTCACTAGTGAGTATATGCACTTGCCTTTTGATTTGGCCCATTTAAAAAATGTCACGTCTTCCTTGTTTTTTAAAGACCAAAAAAAATTGATGACACGTTGTTTATTTTTTATAACAATAAAACATGTATTAGTTTATAATTAAATAAAGAGTAATGCTATTCATACCTTACTTTTGTAACACATTTTCATATCACTTTAGGTGACATTTGATGTGGATAGCCACATCATTTGAATTAATCATATTTTTAAATTTAGTTCATTTTTTAATAAACTAATAATTAAGAAAAACTAGTTAAACAAATGATGATTGTGGTATACGAGGAGTCTTTCTCATTCATTTTCTTGGGTTTTGTAAATTTTTCAAATGATGTAGCTATCCACATCAGATGCCACTTATGGTAGTATAGAAATATGGTATAAAAATATAGTATGAATAACATTACTATTAAACAAAATTAAAGAGTGAGTACTCGCCAGTGAGACCCCAAGTATTGTCGAACACACAAGACGATAAACTCGTTATCCTGACCAATAAAACCAATAAACCTTCCTTTCAAACCCTATTTTCCTTTCTAGTGCATATCTTCACTACCGCACAACACAGGCTCCTCTCTCTCTCTCTCTCTCTCTCTCTCTCTCTCTCTCGCATCTGATCGATCTATGTCTTGAATCTTGATGTCCTAATCTTAAGACAAACGAAGAAATTTACAGAGGCCTCTAGCTGGCTACAAGCTAAGATATACAAATATCACAAGAAGTTGGAGCTCAGGATTAAAGGTGGATCGGAGGCATGGAAAACGCCCGCTTCCTTCAGAAGCATCAGAGGAGAAAGAGAGGGAGGATCCTCCCCACTACAACCATGATTTCTCTTCTAACTACGAATCTTCCTGGACGGAAGCTGACATGTCAGCCATGGTTTCTGCTCTCACTCAAGTTATTGGAACCACCGAAGGGCATGCTGCCGTGCAACCAAACCCTACATCCATCTCAGACTCATCACCCCTAGTCAAACAAGAACCCGACCGCTCTGAACCGGTTCAAGATCAAGGTATATATATGATTTCTATTTTTCCTTCCTTTTTTTTTTATTTTCATTTTTTGGTCCCCCGACCTTTTTTTTTCTTGGGATTGTTTTAAGTTGTTTTTTTTTATTTTTTTATATACCAGAAATATTTTAAACTAAATTTATCTAAGAAATTCATCTAAGCTATAAGGAGTGAGATTCAAACTTAAATGTAGAACAAAAAACACACTGTTTTAACTAACTTGGCAAAGCCCAGATCTGAATGATCGTTTTAGCTAATGATATTGACATGTGCTAAGCTAGCGGTATTCGGGTTGGCTATGTGTATGCATATGCTTTCACAGTATTGTTGTGATTATGATCTATCTTTTGTTTGTTTCCAAAGCACTTGCATTCTCCAAAGTTGTCGTCATCTATACATGTCCATCTCTAAATCCGTATAAATTGGACAAGATACTAATCGAACTAATTGAGTAGCTAGCGAGGTTAGCTAGATTGCTCTTCCTTCTCCTAACCCTATTTTTGTTATCCTCCACTACAAATATCCCAGCTGTGTGTTTCTTGCCTAAATCACATTTGACCAAAGACTTTTTAGGTATCCAGTTCCAATGTATGGTCATAGACAATTTCAATATTTTTGTATCCTACCTACCTTCCGTGAAGAACCCTCTTTCCATCTCTCCAATTGTCAACAAGCTAAAAATAATTCTTGTTCCATCTGGGACATTCTTGTCATGTTTTTCTCAATTTTCACAAACCGACTATTACTAATTGAAAAGTTTAAACTTAAATACAATTTAGAGACGTTTGGTTTTATCTTTTATCTTTTTCTGATTTTCTAGTGAGTTCTAGTCTATCTTGCCTCAGCATTATCCGATCTTTGATAAGGACGTCTTAAACTTTATAGCTATTCACTTTCTTTGTTTGGTTGGTGCAATTTCCACTTAAGTTGAAGTTCACTGGAAGATTTGCTAACTTCAAAATAGTTTACTGAAAAGGAGGGGAATGCTTTGAATTCCAGTCCCTATCTTTGTCCTGCTTTCGTATGTAAGACCTTTACTTTTAAGAAGGAATTAAAGCTGTTTTGAATATAAACATGTAATACTTTAGCACAATAGGGCACACTTGCGCTGATTACACTCCTCTTCTAGGGATTCCTTCCAGAAGACGTGTCATTGCATCAACTAGCTAGGATATAGTAGCATGGTCTATAGTAACATAAATATATATACATATATGTATAGAAGTTAGTCTTATATATCACCAATACTATTATTTTCAAGATTAATTGTAGAATTTTTTGTGATGTTTCTTGTAATGATATATGTTTAAAACGACATCATTCTGTAACAAACTATATTGATACATAAAAGTGTAATTTATAACGTCTGTCTCATAATACATTGTTGTACCAAACTATTGGATACATAGAAGTGTAATTTCTTATCTCTGTCTCATAATACATTAAACTTTGTGTATGTTGTTACTCCATGACGTGCATGTTTGTGAATAAAGAGACCGTAAGGAGGCGACACTATAGAGGAGTGAGACAAAGACCTTGGGGCAAATGGGCAGCTGAAATACGTGACCCAAAGAAAGCAGCCAGAGTTTGGCTTGGGACTTTTGAGACCGCCGAAGATGCTGCCATTGCCTACGATAACGCAGCTCTCAGGTTCAAGGGCACAAAAGCCAAGCTCAACTTCCCCGAACGAGTTCAAGGTAAGACCGATTTTGGCATCCTAATGGGCAGTTCTGGTACTACAACAAACAGTAGCAGTGGTGCTGCCTCTACTCAACGAACACAAAATCTCATGAGACCAGCTGGCCGTATTGTTAATCCTCAGACAGCTCCTGCTCCATTAATCACGTCGCAGCAGCCGAAACTTTCCCTGATCTTTATCAGTACGCGCAGCTTCTTTCCAGCAATGATGCTGATTTCTGCAATTATTCTTTTTATCCATTTAATCAAGATCCAAGATTTACTTCACAGTTTTCTCCATCATCGACGAATTTGTCATCTTCCACTGCATCACATGATTCACAACCATCGCAACAAAGACGACAAGATCATGAGGAGGATGCGGGGAATAAGGACTGGAATTCGAGTAATCCAAGGGAGTAGCACTATTATGCGTTATTTAATTTTGATGCGGTTCAATTTTATGTATTATATCGAGGAAGTTTAATATTTTGAGAGCATTTGTTTGTTCAATTAGTACTAGTTAGCTAGGATTATCATTTCAGGTTTTTATTTTTTTTCCTTTTTATGGATATATATGTATTGCCTGGGTTTTTTACGTATTTTTGCAGCCATGCCCTGATCGAATCACAACCCTAATACATCATGCATCACTGGTTCATTTTAAGACTTTTTATAATCAGTTCAGTGTACTAGTACTATATATCAAGCATGCAAAATTTATTTTCAAGTATCAAGTAGAATGTAGACGTGATATGGAGGAATTTTCAGGATGACAGTGTTATTGTGGTGTTGCAACGACTTGTACTGTTATTCCTGATTTATATATTAGTATGGATTGTGCTTTTGTTCCCTCCAGAGGGAAACTTGTCCTCCCACTTATGATTAAGGTAGCTTCACCGTGAGATCTTTATAATCGGAATAGTTCATTATATTTATCATCATCCAAATATCATATCTGCTAAAAAACACATAATTAATTCGGATGTCTCCTAGTCATCCAAGTGTGTCAAATGAATTAACGATTTTAGTGATAAGTATCATCTTCATGATGAACCGTTTATTTGTTTGATGTATATGAATGACTAAAAGTTCTCCAAATTGAATGATTTTTTGCAGATATGATCTTTAGATTAATGATAAAGAAATAAACAGTTCCGATTATGAGGTTCTATGATGAAGATACGTAAATCATAAATAGAGGGACATATAGGTTCCCTCGTATAAGAACACAAGCATTACCCTATTAGTATTTATATTTTATTGTAAATTCAAGGTCTATTTTTATTGTAACACATGACCGAGTTATATACGTGATGTTGTACTGGTCACAATCAAAATATTTTTGTATAAAAGAGTGATTATTCTGATTTCCAAGAGCTTAAAATTTTACTAAGCAAATGGTGTAGATGTAAAGTTGCAAATTTTTTTTTTTTTTCTCTTGCAAAACGAGAGAAGAACATTATCTTATTTTTATTCCACTATCATGAGTTTAAATCAAATTATCGGCATCTGATATATAATGAACGCTTTTAATTATTTTAAAAACGAACTGTTTCCATTCAACTTGATGGAATGTCATATTCAGATATTGTTATCAAAACAAAAAAATCAAATCCGAATATTTGTCTCAACTTAATGCAAAATCAATATACAGTCTACATATGCAAAGAAGTGCCGTCACTTCGAGAATTAAAGGTGGAATATTATTTCCAATCGCCTGATGGGAATTCAATCAGCTGAAATATAATTAATTTGGTTTCAACTTGCTACGAAGATTAATTAAACGAATGTACCAAAAACTAACATCACTTGGTCTGTTGAAGCAAAACAAACACTTATTACAGTACTATACTCACATATAAACTTAATTAACAAAACATGTTGACAAATAAATTAATGGAAAGTTGGAAAATTGGAAAATGGAAAGTGAAATATCCTAATAATTTATAGTGAAATCCTAATAATTTATCAGTTCTCCGGTAGCAAATAGATCTCGACAAGTAAACATTCCCAAAACCTTGATTAGTAACCCCCACCGGCACACAATATTAATGCGATTTGTAACACAAGTTTTGAAGAAAGATGCAAACGTGCTGAGAAGCTTTGATCAGCATGGCTCCACCACCTTTCTTTTTCTTTTATGTAAGAATATTCTGACTAATGAGACGTGGTTCTAATTAAACCAGTTTAGTTTATGAAGAAGGGCATTCGAACTTTGATGCAAGATAGCTGGCAAGTTGGTCTAACTTAAAACTGCACAATAAGAGTTGTCGACAATAATTTCATTTTTAGTTTTTAGATTTTATGAAGTAGGTTTGCAAATTTTTCTGTATAACCATCATACTACTACATATTATCAAAATAAAAAACTCACATTATTTTTACACTAACGAGTGAATAATTTGAACTAACATACATGACAAACCAACCATAATAAAGCACTCACATTATAAACACGTATATTAGTTTATCAACACTGATCCATTCGTTCATCAACTATAAACAATGTCATTCGTTGATATTATACGTCTGAATTTTAACACGCTACTTTAGACGTGTTATAAGGTACAAGTTAAGCCTTTTTTCTCCCACTTGTTTTGAGCTTTAGGATAACATTGTTAACAATAAGTTATTATCAAACCTAATTAAGCTAATAAGGTCATTACCTTTTTTGTCGTAACGACTAGTACAAAGCACAAAGTACAGATCCCTCAACGGCTGAAACCATGCGCATGCCAAAGCGCCTCCAGTGGGCCTCCAACCCACTTGCCCCCACAAACGCCAAAAGCTCCAGTGGGCCAGCCTCAAATCCTCCAAAGCCCACGAAAGGTCGATCTGCTTAACAAAGGACCCACAAAACGACAAAAATTAAAAGCAAACAAAGGAGATGAGAAGAAGCTTCCGCCTTTTCTTTTTTCTTTTTTTCCCCTTTTTTTCCTTATTTTTTACGCTTTTCAGAGACGCATGAATATTGGTGACGTGTGCTCAGTTATCAATGCAAAGCATGGGATTTCGGCAAAATCCAATCAGGAAAGGATAGATGTGAGGATGGTGGGTCCCACGTCTGATTTGGCCAAGTGGCATACACAAAGGCTGTGGATTTCGATGCTTTCGGTCTCTTCTTACCTCCAATGTCAAATTTTGCGGCGACTGTCGTGTCTCCCCTCCTTTTGTCTTGGGATCAGGATCATTTCCTAGCTAAGAATAAGGATCCTCCTAATTAAGTCTATCAAACCGTTCAAAATTTATTCTGCAATTATAAATATAAAATTCTTCTAAAAGTTATAATTACTTTAACCGTTGTTCTTATATTATGCCATGCTTACAAAGTTAAACTCTGTGAGCCTCTTTCACATTTCTCTCTTCTCCCTTCTTTCTTTTGGTACAACTGAATTTTTTAATTTTCCGTCTAATATAAATTATTTATTTCAAAAGAGTACGTACAGTTTTAAAGTTTCAAATTTAAATTTCAAGACTCGTATTTGTTAAACTGTCCTGTGCAACTTTCTTTCCAATATCATGCACGTACACGTGACTTATTTACGTCTCTTCTCGTATTACGTTGATCAAAAGAGTATAGTTGTTGGCTCCATAAAAAATTATGGTAGGAATATTTTTTTTTCTCTCCAAATTTTAAGCAGGACAATGATGTTGCATTAAGAGAGTTTTATTGGTGAAAAAAGTCATCATAAACACGAAGACTCTTTCACCAGCATGATGATTTTTTGCAATATCAATAATAGCTTTATAGAGAAAAGTAATTAGTGAAATTATGCTTTAATAGCTTTGATCACGCATGAGTTTTTGTCATGTCTTGGTACAAAATATTCCACTCGTGCTAAGCTTGTTTATTGATCAAGTTCATTGCACCAAATGACAACTACAAAACATTATCATCATGAGCATTAGTCGCGCGGAATAATATTTGTTTAGGGCCATTTGATAATTATTTCTTTTCAGTTTGAAATGTGAAAATTGAAATCTTATTTGGTAACTATTTTTTGTTAAAAAAAAATGAAAACTATTTTCTTGAGTTTTCAAAATTTGGCTTGGAATTTTCAATTTTTTGTTTTGAGTTTTCGTTTTTTGAAAACCAAAAATTATTATCAAACAAAATTTAAGTTTTCAAAAAAGAGAAAACTGAAAACGAAATGTTTATTAAATGACCCATTAAGTAATGCATCGTGCATATGATTGTTTAGCATTGTACAGTATATTGATCAAATCAAGTGAAATTAGATCCATCGAGCATTCAAGCTCATAATCGTTTACCGTAAAGTGGAAACTGAGTACCGCTATATTTTTTTGTGCAAGTTCACATCTACTTTGTGGAGTTGAATGAATGAGATTCTGAGAATACACAAGAAATAGGCATTAGGGAATGAATGACCTTGCACTTGACCCAATCCAATTCTCAAAGATTCATTAAGTTGTAGCCGATCCGGCCCGTTATAGGCCACACAATACAGCAAAATACTGTGGGCCTGTTAAAGTCCAAAAGTTACAAGAAAAAAATGGTTAGAAAAAACTGAAATGTTGACAGTGGGATTTGAACCCACGCCCTTTCGGACCAGAACCTTAATCTGGCGCCTTAGACCAACTCGGCCATATCAACATGTTGGTAGGTTGGTCTTGATTAGATAATTAGTTGGCTCTAACCAGTAAAGCCTTCATCATCTGCATCTGTGACAGCCACACATCTGAAAGTTCTGAACAGAGCGAATGGGATTCTTATGCCATCAAGTAATCAAATAACTGAAATTAGCAAACCCGTTCCATTAATTTGCCCAAAAATGGGTTCCAGAATGCTGTGTCTGTCTGCAACCGTAGTCCCTCCTCCTGCGCCTGCTCCTGCTGTAAAGCTTACCACATCAAATAATATGTCCCCGATTTTTCTTTCTTCTTCTGCAGATAAAGCTTCGGCTCGGCTTCAGTCTTTCAGGTGCAGAGCTGTCGGAGAAAGCTCTCAGCCGCAGACCTCGTTGGCTGAAACCGTATATCAGGGAGTTTACGGTCCTTGGTCCGTCGACTCCACCGACGTCAGAGAGGTACTCAACCACTTGGAGCCCATTTTTAAGTGCTTCTGTAAAAAACACTCCTGGTGTGAGTGCTTTTGTTTAAAGCAGTGCCTGCAATTAGTTCCCATTTCGGTCAAACCCAGAATTTTATTTCTACCCGTTTTTTTGTTTTGGGTGTTTATCATGGCAGTTTCATAGTCGGTCTAGTGGCCCAATACTAATGACTAGACCCAATACTAATCAACATCGAGATTATTTCTAGCATAATCTTGATACGTCAATACGATACAAGTAGTGTAACCATTCAATATAAATTGTATTTGATTCGGTCAAGTTTCGGACTGTAGCATTTTCACGTTCTTCAACATTTATTGGTGTGGCAGGTTATTTTGTACAGGTCGGGACTAGTGACTGCGGCTACATCATTTGTAGTTGCAGCTTCTGCTGCATTTTTGCCTGATAGTTTCTTCTTAACTGACATTGTCAAAGACAATCTCGATTTTGTCTACGCAATCGGAGCTGGTGGATTGGGGTTGCCCCTTTTTCTGATTCACATCTATGTGACTGAAATTAAGCGCACTCTGCAAGCATTTTGGGGGCTTGGTGTTGCCGGGTCTTTCGCAACATATGCATGCTTGGCTAGACCAGCTGGAGATGGTTTGGTGCAATATGTTGTGGATAACCCCGTCGCTATCTGGTTTGTTGGTCCTCTCTTTGCTTCTCTCACGGGACTAGTCTTCAAGGAAGGTAAGATACGATAGATTATTTGCGCAGGACACTCGTTTTTTTGTTAAAGGAGGGATTTTGTATCAACAATGTCGATAATGTATAACATTTTGTTAACGACTTATTGGCACTGTAATCCGTCCCTTAATAAATAACAAACGTCATGTCTAGAGAGGTGATATGCTTCGTATTGCCTTCTTGCTCGCTTGTTTTCGAGTCTTGGCAAAGTAATATTAAAACTAAGTACTTGTTACAGGTCTCTGCTATGGAAAGTTGGAAGCTGGAATTCTCACATTCATCATACCTACTGTTCTTCTGGGGCACTTGGTATATCTTGTTCAAACTGATCCCCTTTCCCTTTTCAAATTGATCCCTTGCATCGTCTCCTCCCCTGTACTTTGCAAACTGTTCCAGTCTGAATTTGACGGATTTCATGCAAGAAATAAACAGAAGTTGACGGATCTTTGTTGATTGGAACAATGTGCAAACTACAGAGGAACGAAAGTGGAACTTTGTGAATACTATAGGACTAAAACCGTGTGTTAGACTTTCTATTCGCAGCTATTGTAACCTCTGCTGTCTAGGAACTAATGGAGTTCATGTTAAACACAGAGTGGACTGATGGACGATGGAGCAAAACTTTCTTTGCTCGGTTTGTGGATGGCCCTGTTTGTAATTTTTGCCGGAAGGAAGTTCACTCAACCGATCAAGGTAATTTTCCAGTTGACTTAACTGTATTAAAATGAAAAATTCCCCTTATTTCAGTTATCGTTCAAGCTTATGCTCATCGCATTTGGTAACAAACTGTTTTTCACTTTCAAGGATGACATTGGCGACAAGTCCGTCTTTACATTCAATTCTCTACCTGAAGACGAGAAGATGGCCTTGATTCAGAAGCTTGAGCAACAAAAGTTAAGTCAGGATGTCGATTAGAGAAATACGAGCCACAGTGGCAGTTTAGTATAGTCTATAGAAAGGAACAACTACGTAATATCAATTGAAAGGAACAGCTAATTTTATATGTACAACAGTACAACTACTGATGAACCATTGCAGATTCATGAACCGAACTTCTTTCTCTTACGATTCGGTTTTAGGTTTCTTTCTACTGCAGTTGCAGTTCGTTATTGTTTGTCTGAGAAGCCTTCTCCTTGAGATTATCCATGACACGCTTTAGTTCTCGGTTAACCTGCTCCTCGTGAAACAGGTAGCGTTAGGATTATATGCATTCACTTCGATAAGGAGAACCAAAACACACATGCAGCGCAAAGTGCACCTCCGACAATGGAAAGCTAGAAACATCTTCCGCTTCCTCTTGGCCTTCAAGGGGCTCTAAAATAAACTGTGACCAAATCTGTGTGCAGGATTCGTTTTCCATTGGAATGCGGTTTTGAAAATTATTGTGGACCAAATGCCTTGTCTATTTTCCTCTTCCTCCAAACTTATTTGGCAAGTATATCTTGGTCATTAACGGGATGCACTTAAACACTACCATATACTTTCCTCATCATTATCTATATATTACCTCAAACTTGAAAGAAATATGCCACATTGTCACGCCCCGGATTTGGCACAAACTAAATCGAGTATATGACACTCCACGTTACTTTTAAGAGCAAAAAGTAACTACTTCCAAAAGCAAGTTATTTGGATGATTGCTTTTGAAGTTATTTGGAATTCTGTTGGTTTTCAATGTGGTGTTCCCAGTTACCGAAATATTACTTACGTCCAATACACTATTCTATTAGTTTAAACTACAAAGTTCAGAAGTCCAAATGTAAGCTGAAATTACTTGAAGTTTGTAGCTTTTGACGATCGTATGGCAATGTGGTCGAGGACAAAGAGCTTGGCAAGAAAGTTCAGCTCCAAGGCGCAATAACACGCTTCAGTTTCTAGTGACGCTAAGATCGTAGACAAGGAGCTGGCGCTCACTTGCTCGGGTTTAGTTTGTGCCAAATCCGGGACGCGACACTTTGCATGTGGAGGAACTTAAAGAATCGAATTGAGAAGTTAGAAAATAATAGAAAATGAGGTGATTTGCACGTAAAATTATGAAGATTATATCCGAAATATGTTATAATTTATCAAACACTATCTATTGTCAAACTACAACAAAAGCAGTTTCTATAAAAAGTTCTAGTAATAGCAAACCGATCATAAAACATCCCACTTATACGTGTGAGAAAATACAGTAGACTGTAATACTAAATAGCACAATCCCTTAGTTAATAACTTAATAGTATAGATCTATAGTAATTTTTCTCTTTGTTAGCATAAACCCTAAAGTACTTAAAAAACAATTTGACCATATTTTGTCAGGGTTACCAAGTTAATGGTCTAGTAATTTTACATATGTGCATTATCGTCACTAAAATAGTAAACATGGATTTTGATGTCAATTTCCGAATTTGAAGTGTAGACGGTTTAAATAGAACTTTTAACACGGGTCCCGGTCCATACCTTTGCCGCTTGCTGGGCTTTGTAGTATATGAACCAACGGGTCCAAAAATTTCACGAAACGACATCGTTTCTTGACCGTCCCTTAAAACCCTAACCAGAACAAGTGGTTTAGTTTCCCACAAGTGGCGAAAATTCGCATGCGTAAATTCTACGCTTTCATCACCTCATCAGCTTCTTTTGGTCACTATTTCTGCTCCAATCGCTTCACTCCGCTCCTCCACTCGCCTCCGCCTCCCTCCATCATCCGTCGCTTCACGCCGCCGATGGCCGCCCCGGAAGACTCGCTCCGCAAGGCCCTTGCTGACAAGCTGTCGGAGGTCGAGAACCAGGGGAACCAAGTGCGGGCTCTTAAAGCCGGCAAAGCCGACAAGTCGGAAATCGACGCCGCCATTGAGGCACTGAACTCGCTCAAGCTGGAGAAGGCTTCGATCGAGAAGGACCTCCAGGCAACATTGAGCAGCAGCGAAGGGTCCGGTAACAGGGAGGCGTTTCGTCAGGCGGTGTCGAATACGCTTGAACGGCGTCTCTTCTACATCAAGTCTTTTAACATCTACGGTGGCGTTGCGGGGCTGTATGACTACGGCCCGCCCGGTTGCGCCGTCAAGTCCAACGTACTTGCTTTTTGGCGGCAGGTTCGATTAACTTCATTTGTCTACTAAAATTATTTCCTGCTGAATTTTGTTAAATTCTTTGACGTGCATGAACTTAAATTATCAGTATATAATTATAAGTATGAATTTGTGCCTCTGATTATTGTTAATTTCATAATCTGTTAGTGGGATTCTGGATGGGTTTTAATTTTTAAATCTATGTGTAATTTATTTTATCAAATTACTTGTTAAGATTGGTAACGAGCTTTTCGGGTTCTGAAGAACGTTACGAATGAGGGGAAGGAATGGATAATCATTGATTTTTGGTATTTTTTTTTTTAAATTTGATTTGCAGCATTTTGTTCTTGAGGAGAACATGCTGGAAGTTGACTGTCCCTGTGTCACACCTGAGGTGGTTCTCAAGGCATCTGGGCATGTTGACAAATTCACTGATCTTATGGTGAAGGACGAGAAAACTGGGACTTGCTACCGAGCGGATCACTTGCTGAAAGATTTTTGTAACGATAAGCTTCAGAAGGATCTCAACATTACTGCAGAGAAGGCCAAGGAGCTTAAGCATATACTTGCGGTGCTAGATGACCTCTCGCCTGAAGATCTAGGTGCAAAGATTAAGGAGTTTGGTATTACTGCCCCTGATACGAAGAATCCTCTATCTGATCCTTATCCTTTCAACCTGATGTTTCAAACTTCAATTGGTCCATCTGGCTTGATTCCTGGGTGAGCATATAGACACAGAAACGACTTTTTTTTTTATGTTTCAATAATGTTAGAATCAATAGATATGGATTGTGAGAGGTTTTTCCCTTTAATTCTTCTTGTTTCATGTGTTACCTTGTTGTACTGCAGGTATTTGCGTCCAGAAACTGCACAAGGCATATTTGTGAATTTTAAGGATCTGTATTATTACAATGGCAACAAGTTACCATTTGCTGCAGCTCAAATTGGGCAGGCTTTTAGAAACGAGGTTATAATTCCTTCCCTCATGATTTTAGACTGAGATCATGCCTGATTTTGCCAGGCCTTCAGATAAATGATTACGTCTAATCGTCTATAAATGGTTGTGGTACTGAGAATTTTGTGCAACACTATTCACTCTTTATTTTTTCTATGTTAAAAAGTCAATTCCTAAACAAGTTAATGTATGTGCAGATATCTCCTCGCCAAGGCCTTCTGAGAGTTCGGGAATTCACACTGGCTGAGATTGAGCATTTTGTAGATCCTGAAGACAAATCTCACCCGAAGTTTGCAGAGGTTGCAGAGTTGGAGTTTTTGATGTTCCCTAGGGAATTACAAATGTCAGGGGAATCTGCAAAGACAATCCGTTTGGGTGAAGCAGTTGCTAAGGTTGGGTTCCATCAGATATTTTTACCTTTTTTTTTTAATTTGTTTTTATATCGAAGTTTAACGTTGCTTCAATTTCACTCGATTTAGGGAATTGTCAACAATGAAACGTTGGGCTACTTCATTGGAAGAGTATATCTTTTCCTTACCGGTTTAGGTATTGACAAGAAACGGTTAAGGTTCCGTCAGCACCTTGCAAATGAAATGGCTCACTATGCTGCTGATTGCTGGGATGCTGAGATTGAGAGTTCCTATGGCTGGATTGAGTGTGTTGGTATAGCTGATAGATCTGCATATGACTTGCGTGCTCATACGGTAAGGATTTATTAGATCTCTTTTAAGAAACTCTTAACTGCAGACTACTTTTTATTAATCAATATGCTGAGATAGTATGATTGTAAAAATGTGTTGACTGACTTTTGATTTCATTTATAGTGTTTTTCTCCAGTGGTATTTAGTTCTGAATTTTAAAACTTGGGGTTTTATCTATGAAACTGTTATGCCGACACGAGAGAAGCCATACAACATAAAGTGATGCTAAGGCTTTACACTACTTATGGAAAGCTATGTGTTCATGGAGTATTGTTTTTCCTTTTCCTTTTCTTTTATGACAGGAGAAAAGTGGTGAAGCTCTTGTGGCTCATGAAAAATATCCAGAACCAAGAGAAGTAGAGGTAATGTTTTCTGCAGATCACGTACACCACTGTTGTTATTAGTAATTTCACCTGTAAGAAAAACAGTATCATTTTTTACTTGTTATGTAATTTCAGGTGTTGGTTATAGCTCCAGTAAAGAAAGAGATCGGCCTTGCATTCAAAGGGAACCAAAAGAACGTAATTGAAGCGTTGGAGGTGAATACAGAATACTCTCTTCTGATTCTTCATCTCGTAATTCTGTTAAATATAGAAGTTATTCATTTCAGGCCATGAAAGAACAAGAAGCTATGGCATTGAAGGCTGATTTAGAGTCTAAAGAGGAGGTGGAGTTTTACGTCTGCACGCTGGGGAAGAATGTAACCATTAAGAAGAGTATGGTAAAAATTTCAAAGGAGAAAAAGAAAGAACACCAGAGAGTATTCACGCCTTCTGTAATTGAACCCTCTTTTGGTATCGGCCGAATTATATATTGCCTCTTTGAGCACTCATACTACACGAGGCCTAGTAAAGCTGCTGATCAACAGTTGAATGTTTTTGGTTTCCCCCCACTTGTGGCACCCATTAAGTGCACAGTTTTTCCTCTGGTTCAGAACCATCAGTATGAGGATGTTGCTAAAGAAATCTCCAAGTCATTGACTGCTGCTGGAATCTCGCATAAAATTGACATTACAGGTATGGAACTAAGTCAATTATCTCTGTTTGTAATTTTTTGACATGTAGGGTTGCTGTATTGAATTGCAAAGTAAAATATGGAATATAAGTTCTAGCACATGTTTATCCATCCATACTTCTCAATGGGATGTTCCCGGACATAATGGTTAGATAATCGGTTTATGGTAGACTGGCAGTAGGGTTAAGCAGTAAGTCACTTATTCTGCAGACATGTTTATATATGCGTATTTTTTAAAACTCATACGCTCTGATATGCCAGAGTTGCATTCTCGTATGGGAGAAAGGCAAGATGAGCACCCAAGATTTGTATCTTCATTCCTCGTTGTAGTTGAAGCCTAACCTG